AGGACAAAGGCGTTGACAAGCAAGGGCTGTTTTGCTCTGTCGGCGTGGGTGGTCTTTGTCCTTCGGGAGGTCGTATTTGCTTTTCTGGGAAAGGCCTTCACCTCCTTACGTTAGTGAGTCTCACGTGGAGAAAGGAGAGCGTGTAGGGGGTGTCCGTGTTTTCCGATCACCGTGTCCGCTGCTGCCAGGGTCTGGCAGAACAGGTTTCTGGAGTCCATTGTGTTAGGGGTGTCTGGCCTGTCTCCTTTGTCACCCACACAGACACACGGAGCTGGGAGTTAGTGGGGCCACAAACCTCTGAGAGGCGAAGCTGGGATCAGAGAGAGGGCAGGCGTGACGCCTGAGAGAGACCAGTGCTTGCTCGCTGTGTGTGACCAAGGACCCCGGCGGCAGCCGGCTTTCTAGGACAGGCGTGGTCACTCCTCACTGACACCGTCTGGCTCCTGTTTCCCCGTCGCAGCTCATTTCTGACGCCGGCTACCAAGGGGAGATCACCAGCGTGTCCACCGCCTGCCAGCAGCTGGAGGTGTTCTCCCGAGTGCTCCGTACCTCTCTGGCCACCATCCTGGACGGGGGCGAGGAGAACCTGGAGAAGAACCTTCCGGAGTTTGCTGTAAGCTCTTCGTCTGTCTCCGGTCGGAAGGAGGTGGTCGGGTCATGTGTCGTCAGATACGAGGCGCTCCTTCCCTTCCGAGGGTGCCGGCCCTGCTGCCCTGCCCGGGCCCCAGCTTCCTGCAGGAGTGCGGAGCGGGTCTGGCTCGCTCCTCGGCACTGTCCTTGCTGCTCGTGACCCTCACCCTTGCCGTGTTCCAGAAGATGGCGTGCCACGGGGAGCACACCTACCTGTTCGCCCAGGCCATGATGTCCGTGCTGGCCCAGGAGGAGCAGGGGGGATCCGCCGTGCGCAGGGTCGCCCAGGAGGTGCAGCGCTTCGCCCAAGAGAAGTGAGGCGGCGTCCGGGCTCACCCCATCCCGCTGGGTCCCTACGGGACCCTGGGCCCCTTATTGGGACATGTAGGCAGACGGCCCTTTGCATAGCGAGCTGGAAGCACGTACAGAACTTGCTTCCTGAAGTGTTTGTGAAGTGCTCCACGGTCGCCCAACCTCCTGGGCTCACGGACCTCTGTTTTCATAACCCGGGATTTATCGATCACAGTTAACGATAGTTTTGAAATAGTTATTTGGTAATCGTTAAATTGTAGTCCATACTGTAGAACAAAATCGGCTCTTACTGTCGTTATTTTCTACCAGTGGAGTCCAACAAGGTAGTTCAAAGGCGTGGCCCCCTCTAGAAAGAGAAGGGCTCTGCACTGGGACCTGCTCTCGGGGCTCCCAGTGCCGTGTTCCTGGGTCGGCGGGTCAGCGCACCCCTGAGAGGCAGCAGTGGGAAACCAGGCGTCCCAGCAAGTCTGAGCGGCCGACGAGGGAAGAGGGGGGAGGGGGGAGGGAGGGTGCCGACGATGGGCCCCAGCCGCCCGACGGCAGGCCTGTGCTGGTTCTCACGCAGAGGCCACGACGCCAGTCAGATCACGCTGGCACTTGGCACGGCCGCCTCCTACCCGCGGGCCTGCCAGGCCCTGGGGGCGATGCTGTCCAAAGGGGCCCTGAACCCGGCCGACATCACGGTCCTGTTCAAGATGTTCACCAGCATGGACCCGCCCCCCGTGGAACTGGTAAGTTGCTTTGCACGTTGGTGGTGAAGCGGACACCCCACGGGAAGGGTGACTGTGGAGAGCCTGTGCGTCTCTTAATTCTCCCAAGTCAGTGAGTGCGAATCCTGTCAAAACACGCCCGGGCCTCTCCGGGGCTGCTCCCTCCCACAGGGAGCCTGCGGGCCCCAGGCACCTGCGGAGCACAGCATGGTGCCCCCTTCGCCATGAGCACGTGCGGACTTACCTGCCTTCCCTCTCCCGAGTCCCTTCTCAACGAGTTGCATGTCTGCAGATCCGGGTGCCCGCTTTCCTGGACCTGTTCATGCAGTCGCTGTTCAAGCCCGGGGCCAGGATCAACCAGGACCACAAGCACAAGTACATCCACATCCTGGCCTACGCCGCCAGCGTGGTGGAGGCCTGGAAGAAGGTGCTGTCGCTCCTGAGGGTGCAGGGCCACTCTGGGGCACAAGCCACCCACCCTCTCAGCTTGTGGGACCGAAGGATGGGATCTGTTCCCTAGCCCTGTGACGCCTGAGACAGACCAGTGCTCTGAGACAAACCCTGGCCTCCTTGGTCACCAGGGTCTGTCTCTGTGGTGTGACTGGGGAGGGGGACCAGTAGGCGGACTGCTGACTTCAGAGCAGGGAGGGGTCTGCACAGAGCGTGGCCCACACGAGGCCCCCCGAGCCACCAGGCAGGCGGGCTCACTGCCGGGGCGTGTGCTTGCAGAACAAGCGAGTGAGCATCAACAAGGACGAGCTGAAGTCCACGTCGAAGGCAGTGGAGACCGTGCACAACCTGTGCTGCAACGAGAACAAGGGCGCCTCGGAGCTGGTGGCAGAGCTGAGCACGCTCTACCAGTGCATCAGGTGGGCGGGGCGCGGCGGCTCTGACCCATCGGAGTCTGGCCCTCCGGAAATACTCACGCGGCTCACTAAGTTTCCTTATTGGAGCACAGACAGGGAACCTCAGACTGCGAGAGCAGCCCGAGTGATGTCAGGGGCAGCTGGACGGACAGACAGGTCTGTTTGCAGATCAGACCAGTGGCTGGAACACCAGCCGGAACTTCGAAAGTGACTCGGAGAGCTGGGTCTGTTGATGTTTCCAGTAAAAGCTAGACCAACAGTTATGCCAGCCACGTCAGTAAGAGCTCACCAGGGAAGCTGTCAGAGGGGTTCTCTGGGCACCTGACCCTCCCCGATAACCTGCTATGTTGGGACAAGGAGAGGCTTTGCTGAACAGCACGTAGCTTGAGCGCTGTCCGGCCCCGGCTGCCCGCAGGTGGTGGTCACGCTGTGCCACTAGGAGCCGGGGCTGGGAACCTGAGAGCCACTGGTGGCCGCATGAGCCTTTCCGAGTGTGTCGAAGAGAATGGATGGGGTGGATTGAGCTTGTCCGTCTTTTAAACCTTTGTTTGGTTTTGGTGATTGTTTTTGGACAACATCGCTGAAAGGCGGCATTGTGCCTTATCACCGGCAGGTTCCCGGTGGTGGCGATGGGTGTGCTGAAGTGGGTGGACTGGACCGTGTCAGAGCCGCGGTACTTCCAGCTGCAGACGGACCACACCCCGGTGCACCTGGCACTGCTGGACGAGGTAGGGGCTGGAGGGCCGCACATGGCGGGCAGTGGGTCCCCGCTCCACACCCGCCACCTGCAGGTGCTGTGACGTTACCGGAGCGGAGCGGGGCCAACCATGGGTCCATGCACATGGACCGGACCAGGGCTGAGTGCCTGCAGCTCCCATTCATGTCACAGGGAAATGGCGCTGAGCGCAGCGTCGCTTGGGGACCTGCCACACCGGGCCCCCGCCTTGTCCTGCCCGTGTCTGAGTTGCTGGCACTCCAGTTCAGTGCGTTCAGAAGATGTTCTCCTTGGGGCTGGTTACTTTAGCCTAAACATGGGTTTTCCTTTTAGGGAACTCATTTCATCACTGTGTAGATGTCTGTTTTTAATCAGGTGGCCCCTAAAGGACAAGAGACGGCTCAGAAGCCGCCGGTCGTGGGCTGCATGGGAGGGCCACCACTGTTGGGACTGCTGGGAGAAGCTGTGGGGGGTGGTGACCATGACTGTCAGTCGGTGTGCGGAGGAGGAGCCGGGACCTGGGCCTGGCGCTCAGCGGGGCTGCCTCCCGCCTGTTTGCAGATCAGCACCTGCCACCAGCTGCTGCACCCCCAGGTCCTACAGCTGCTCGTGAAGCTCTTCGAGACCGAGCACTCCCAGCTGGACGTGATGGAGCAGGTGAGCAGGGCGGGGCTGCGTGCCGCCACGTGGGGGGCCCGCCTGACCTCCATGTCCACCCTCGTAGCTTGAGTTGAAGAAGACCCTGCTGGACAGGATGGTCCACCTGCTGAGTCGGGGCTACGTGCTTCCTGTGGTCAGTTACATCCGGAAGTGTCTGGAGAAGCTGGACACGGACATTTCCCTCATCCGCTACTTCGTGACTGAGGTCAGCAGCCCACCGCCTGTTTCACGCCTCATGCTGTTGACACCGGTAGTGCCCGTTTTGGTTCGTCCGCAGGGTCCGTACCGCACCCCGAGAACGGCGCGCTCTGACAACCGTGCTGGTTGAGGGGGCAGATGCTGGTTCACCCGGCACCTCCTGCCTGCGGGGCCATCTGGGTGGGCGTTGAATGTGGGAGACGGCCCTTGTCACCAGGGGGCAAGACGCGGGGGTGGGGAGGGACGGCAGTTTTCTCCAGACCCACTGGCATTTCATCCGCCCGCGGCCGGACGCCGCTCACAGGCGTGCCGGAGGAGTGGCCCGCTGTTCTCCCCGCACAGGTGCTGGACGTCATAGCCCCTCCGTACACCTCTGACTTCGTGCAGCTCTTCCTCCCCATCTTGGAAAACGACAGCATCGCAGGCACCATTAAAACCGAGGGTGAACACGACCCCGTGGCGGAGTTCATAGGTAGGGTGGGCGTGCGTGCCTCTGCTGCAGGGACGAATGTTGCTGTGTGACTGCCTGTGGCTAACCGTGACTGCCTTTCTCCCGTCTGTCAAAGCTCACTGCAAGTCCAACTTCATCCTGGTGAACTGACCCGCAGCATCCTCCAGAGCTGAAGTGGAACATTCCAGACCAGGGGCGGGCGAGCCCTTCCCAGACCAGAGGGGCTCCATCGGCCCCTGGGACTGCGGCCTGGGTGGAGTCGGTGGCGTTTGAAAAGGGACACAGCAGCGAGACACGTGAGCTCTGCTGCTCTGAGCGGCCCCTCTCCTCGTCAAGCCCATTCGCAGGACTCGTCCCCCACATGGGTGGGCTCGTACCCCTGCTCGGAGGGGGCTGAGACAGGCCAGCAAACCGCGTGCAAAGAGGACTCAAGTTTTCTCAGGAGAACCTGACTGGTGGAGGTTTTATGTAATTGTTTTAATTTTCCAAGAACAAATAAAGCCCTTACGCTGGGTTGACCCTAGTCCGGTGCCGTGTTGTTCTGTGTGGGAAGGAGGCCCGGGCGCCGATCTCCCTCAAGTCCCGTGTGTGTTCATCACTGGGGCGACTTGAAACTGCCCCGCCCCCCTGCCTCCCCACTCCTATTACATGCAAGGTGACAAAAGAACTGGCGATAAATGACACTTTATAGACCACAGTTGCCAAAGCGAAAATACCAAAGAAAGTGCATCCATTGAAGAGAATGGAGAACTCGCATTCAATGTGTCTCGATCACATCTCGGGCGGGCAGACGGTCCTCCGCGCAGTCCAAGACGCGCCTCTGGGCGGGTTCCTGGCGTCCCCGCCCTCAGTCCCTCCAGGTCACAGCAGCGCCAGCCCAGGGCTGGGAACAACCCAGGGCCGAGGGTCCTCTGGTCTCCGTTCACGACATTCCCAGGAGACCTGCGCGTCCCAGACGCCTGCCTTAGACGATGGGGTCCCCGAACGTGCAGGCGTCCTCGATGGCGAGGTTGTAGTCCGCCCCCTTCCCGTCCTTGTAGGTGCTGGTCACGATCCTCATCCAGCCCCGCTCGCCCTGCGGGAGGGGAGCTCCGTCAGCTGGTCAGCACCCTGCCCCTCCCTGCCTCCCAGCATGCAGACCCCCCCTCACCTGGGCACCAGCGCAGGCTCCACCACCCGCTGCCCCTCCCTTTCCTGCACAGGACCCCCGCCTGCAAACACCCTGTGTGAACTATTTCTCTTGGTGAACATGCCCAGCACGCCAGAAGCCCATCCTTGTGACCAGAATGTGGCTGCTTTGGACCAGATGACTTAACTGCCCATTAACATCCCCATTTGCAGTCATTTAACACCAAATACTGGCCTTTCACTACCTCGACATTAATCACCCCCCCAGTTCATAATAATGAACATGATGTTGTAAACCATTAATGAGCCCTACTATGTCTTAGAAATTAAAATTCTGGCCCTCATTCACCTCCCCGGATCCGTGACCCAAATCCAAAGTGTTTTTGAACACACGGCCGGGGTTCCTGAGCAGAGCTGAGCCTGGCAGGAGGAAGACCGGGACGGCCGTGCAGGAATAAAGTTGCTAAACTGAAATTTCCAAGGCGAGTCCCCTCGAGGCTGTTTCCCTCCAGGAAAGGTTTGGTTGTCACCCTGGGGGTCAGGGAGGAGCAGGCGGCTGTCCTGGCACCTGGCTGAGAGCATGCCCCCGAACACCCTGCCAGCGCAGGGCAGCGACGGCCCCACTCTGCTCGGTGCTCTGACCCCGTGTCCCCGGTGCTTGCCCTGGCCCCACTTCTAGCCACAGAACCCACAGACCCATCGGCGTGCGCGGGGGCTGGGATCGCCTTACCCAGGGTTCACCCCACGAGTTCCGCACGATCCAGTACTCGGTCCCGTCGCTGACACCCCACCCCGCCACGGAAACGACGTGGTTGATGTAGCTCTGCTCCTGGTACTCCGCATAGATGCCCCCCGTGTACCGGACCATCTGCTCCGTCGCCATGATGCCGCAGCTGGGGGCACGCAAAGAGCCCGCACTTTCAGCGCCAATCGGAGAGTAAATCCAACCCAGGAGACACAGGCTGGGGGAGTCTGCCGGGGGTCCTGCCCCTGCGCCCCTGCCATGGCCCGGGGGCCTTTCCACCCCCCACCCCCCACTCAGGGGCCCACGGGTCCGGCCACCTTCCCATGGGGAGAAACCTCCAGGGAAAGCTGTGTGTCGAGCGTGGGGATAAGTGGGCCGGGCGCAGGGTGGACATGGCCCGGAGGCCCACCTGATGGGGCCGTTGGCGTAGATCTCCGCCATCATCTTCTCCCGCCCGGAGACGGAGCCATGGTCGCCCACCCTCCAGAGGGTGTAGTTCTGGATGGGCTGGCACTCCTTGAACTCTGTGCACGTGCCGCACTGGTTGAACTTGTTGCACTCTGCGGGACGAGGGCAGGGGGTGCTGAGTCTGCGTGAGCCCCGCCCCCGCATGGAGCCGAGCACGCAGACCCCCTCTGCCCGGCTCCCGGACTAGCGCTGGTACCAGGCACCACCCCTCTGTCAGATGCAGTTTGCTGTTTAATCGCCTGCTCCTGCAGCTGCAAAGGAGCCGGGAAAAGCCCTTCCCTGGGCCTTGGTGCAGAGAGGTGGTTAATTAGAGCATAGTAGGCACTCAAAAGGCAGCTGTTTTTCTTCTAAAGGCCCAGAGAGGGGAGAAAGAGGGCCCAGAAGGACCCTTTCCCAGCCCTCCACAGCTGAGGAAGATAGAGTGTAATGAAATGATTAGCTCTTAAGACGACTCCATTGCTGGCTAGTGAACAGGCCAATCATTTGGAAAAAAATAGCATTTTCTGACTATTTCTGCTTTGAGGTGATATCAAGAGTTAGGCTTTTTAATAAAATGCAGCCCTCAGCTCCGGAAGACCCCAGACCCCCATTCCCTGCACTCCCCCAGACCCTGGCCTGCTGGTGCAACCCGGATCCTTCGCCAGGGCACTGACCCCTGGAAGGTTAAAATGACACCACTGTCACCAAATGCCCAGCACAACTGGAAAGTGCCGAGACGTGTGGCCACACTCGCTGATACATAGGCCAGCCTGTTCAATGCAAACAGGTTCCTTCTGAGCTCCATGGACCCGTCCCGCCCGCTGGTGGGTTCGAGGGGCCGCTGAGGCCAGAGGAGACCAGCTCAGGGCTGAGCGGGGCAGGGTAAGGCCCCAGGACTGGCCTGATTCCTGGTTCCTAGCGGTCATTCCTCCTCCCTCCACCTGCCCCTCTCTTGGGCTCTCTGACCCCTGCTGCATTCACTTGAACCAGACTCGCGCCAGCAGTCTGTGGGAATTCTTCGAGGCTGGGCCCGTTGTGTATTCCAGAGGGCCCAGGGGCTGGCGTTCCCTTGCGGAGGAGAGGGCGGGGAGGGAAAGCCCCTGCCCCCCCCCCCACCTCCGGCCGGTCTCGCAGAGCCTGGAATAGGCCCCCTGCTCTCTGCGCCAACCTCGAGGGAGCCCCAGAGGCAGGTGGCTTAAAACTGCCAATTACGGGCTTGGGCTTTGGACCTTTTCTTTAATTTCCAAGGGCAGCAGCCTGAAAGGAATGTGCCAACCTCAGGGATTCCGGGCCAGCGTAGGGCTGCAGTCCATGCGGGGCCCCTGGGCTCCAGACTCACCTGAGTGTACTCTGGCCAGGGCCGAGAGGCGGGAACCAGGACCCCCACTCATGTCCTTCCGGCCGGGCACCCCGATCCCAGAAAACTGACTGGGTAACTGCCATCTGTGCCCCTCTTACAAAGGCCCATGAAACCACCAAGAAGCCAACATATCAGAACCCCAGACCATGGCCAGCCCTGGCCACAAGGACACCTCCACAGGTGGCCTTAACAAGAACTCAGGGCTCCAGCTCCCTGCTCCCCCAAACCTACAGGGTCCAGACCTCCCCCAGCACCGGGCCCGGGCGGCCCTCTCCCTGGAAGGGGGCGGCGGGGCCTACCCTGGTCCTTGGCCTGGTAGTTGTTGCAGGTCTCGTCGGGGATGCCGTGCTTGTGCGCGTAGGCCCAGACCTCCATGTCGTTGCCGCCCTCGCAGGAGCCGGCCTCCGCGCAGTCCAGGACGTGCTGCACCGACAGGACGGTGGAGGGCCACGCCCCCTTCCTCTTGATGTTGATCCGATCTGCCAGGCGGCACCCAGGGGAGTCAGCACCCAGCCCGCCCACTCTGCAGGGCGGTCGCCCCTGCCACTGCCCCATTTGCTCATCCCCCCCATGGAAGGGCCAAGCCTGGCTGTGAGCTGTGGGTGCAGGTGCCTGCTGAGGGGCACAGACAGGCGGGCACCTCCTCGATCGTGTGCAGCCCAGGACGCCCCGGCAGGGCGCCAGCAGGCCCACCAGCTCCCTCGGGGAGGCTGGCGGGGACCCTGCCCCCGAGGGAACTGTGCCCACTGCTGGCGGGGCCTGGGTCGTGGGGCTGGGGGTGCAGAGGGAGGATCCTGGCTGGCCGCTCAGGACCCAGTCAGCGTGGACACCCTTACCACCTGGGGCGGGCCCACAGTCCACAGCAGGCAGCCAGGGACCACTACAGGTGGTCACCGTGGCCACCTGGGGCCCACAGACCTGCTTCCTTCCCGCCCCAGGTCCAGGCCCCGCAGCCAGCCATCCTGCCCCAATCCCCAGGGCTGGCTTTCTGTGTCCCAAGGGGGACTTCACAGCCACACTCGCCAGGTACTCCCTCGGGGCCTCCTTTCAGTCTACTATACCCACCCCCCAGAAGCCACTGCAGCGAGCAGCTGGGCTTGGAGACCCCCTGGGCAGCCCTGCCCCTCCTCCAGACAAAAGCTTCTGGCCAATGAGGTCTGTGGGGTGGGGGACAAAGGACAATCAGTGTGCAAGCACGAAGGGTGCAGATTCCAGGAAAACAGGCGGCAGAGTCCTGGGCAGGGGCGGCTACATGTACAGAGGGTGGCCGAGGACCTCCCAGGGGCGCCACCCCTGGGAGAGAGGGTCTGGGGAGCAGGGTCCTGGCCTGAGAAGCACCCCCCAACCTCCACCTGGGGTCTCTGCACAGAATAGGGAGCTCCGGCAGGTGCAGGAAGGAGTTTGTCTTTTCTCTGTATGAAATCTTAGAGGGTTTCAAGCAGAACAGAAACATGACCCGACCTGGCTCTGACCAGGCTCAGTCTGCTGTCTGTGACCAGACAGCGGGGAGACCAGTCCAGCAGCTCTGGGACCAGGCCAGGTACCGCTCGAGGGTGCGGGGAAAGGGTGCTTCAGGCTGGGGGGTGGAAAGAAGCAGAGCAAATGCCCCGGCCGGGTGGCTCAGCTGGTTAGAGCGTCATCCTCACACACCAAGATGCAAGTTCGATCCCTGGTCAAGGTACATACAAGAAATGAACCAGTGAACGCGTAAGCGGGGGGAACACCAAATTGGCATCTCTGTCTCTCTCTCTCCTTTACTCTTTCCCTAAATGCAATAAATAAAAATTAAAAAATAAAAAGAAGCAGATGAGTCTGCAAGGTATTTTGGATCGACCAGGTTTGCTGAAGGATCGAAGAGGGGAATGGAACAGAGAGATTGGGGCGCAACCTCAGCCTTTGGGGAGGTGAGTGAGGGGAAGGGTGATGTTTTCACTGAGCGAGCTCAGCTGGGGAGCACCAAGAAGACAGGGTTTGGGGGTGTGGATAAAAAAGGGGTTCTGTGGAAAACAGCCTCACGGGGTGAGCTCATCATAAAGTCCCAGCTGGGCAGGTCATGGCGGGCACACAGCCCCAGGGATGTAACAGGTTTTGAGTTAAGTCTTGCTCTTTGCCTCAATAAGGGCCATGTCCCTTATTAAGGGACCTTTGCAATGCCCTCTTCAGACCCTTTAACCCTCAGGTAACAGAATCCTGACCTGCAGTCTCACCTCCCTGGAATCCTCTGCAGGGCCCTCCCAAATTCCAAACACCTGAAAGAAGCTGTAAAACTAACTGTCCTCAGGGCATTGGAGATCTCGCTTCCCAGGAACTGCAGTTTGGGCTCAAATAAAGCCAGTAACGCTCTCTAGAGGTCAGGGCCTTCTTTCGTGCACAGGGGTGAGGGGGTCACTCAGGTCTGAATGTGTGAGGTTTGAGGTGGCCAAGCGGGAGGGAGAGTGGAGTGGGCAGCTGGGTGTAAAGCTGGAGTTCAGGTGGAGGGTCGAGTGGAGCCAAGGCTCAGTCCTGGGGAACCTGACCTTCACTAGTGACCTTGCAGAATAAGGAGCCCTGGGAGCGCAGAAGGGGGTGAGCGAGTGCTGCGAGGGTTACAAGGAGAGGCGATGAAGCCCCAGCCCAGGAGGCGGGGCCCGGGCTGCCCACGGGACGTGCTGCATGGCAGACTCTTGCTGGGGACTTGGGCAGGGTTGGTGTTTGTAGAGCGAGGCTGCAGTGGACCCGAGACTGGAGAAGAGGGAGCTGGGACTGCAGACATCTCTCCTTGGACAAGTGGGTGGTGGCTGGAGGTGGTCTGGGGTCACACCCCTGCTCATCTGATTCCAGGGTTGGCTGAGTCCAAGCCCAGGGACCCATGTGCTAAGGACTCATGTGCCAGGAAGTGGAGGGAAGGCAGAAACTATGGCCAGCTGCGTGGGGTGGCAGCTGGGCCTGGTGCCCCTGGAAGTCCCCTTTTGTCAGTGAAAGAGGAAGAAGAACCCCGCTGGGGGGGGTGTTAGAGATTCGAGGAGAAAGCGGGAGAAGTGGTCCTCTGCCCAGGAGAGAAATTCCCTGCTTGACCCAGCTGAGAAGTGACAGGGGCCCAGAGAGCTCCCCTGCACCACCAGCCTTTCACAAATGCAAATCTGGGCATGTGACTCCCTATCTGAGCTCCTTCCAGGCTTCACCAGGCCCCTTCCCTGGGGGCAGGGCCCCCTCCCCTCCCCTACACAGGCCCTTTCACTTCCTCCGCCCAGGGCCAGAGGGCCAGGAGGAAGGGCGAGGTTCCATCCTGCCTGGCCGGACCCTCTGCCTTGAGGCCACTCACTCAAGGCGCCTGCCTGGGCCAAACCGCCTGCTGTCCACCGATCTCCTGGCCTCCCCTGCTCCCCTGGGGATTCCCGCACCTTCACCGGGAGTCTCAGCCTCCTTGCCCCCTTCCTCCTCCTTCCTGAGGGCTCGGGTGTCCACTGAAGCACCCAGGGGTCTTCTCACCAGTCCCCCAAAAAAGATGGGGCATGGCCACCAGGGAGACCCCACCAGATGCCACTCTGGAACCTGGCCTGCCTGGTCAGCTCCCCAAGTCAGGGAGGAGACAGTGTCCCCAGCCCCCTCGGGCAGCTTCCCAGTGGGAGAGTCCCTCCTCCAAGGGACTTCCAGTGCGAGGCAGGTCCCTGGAACCCCGGACTGCCTCTGAGGACGAGGAGCCCCTCTCACGTGCCACCAGGTGGGCGGCCTGGGCCTGAGTAAAGCTGCAGGCTGGTGTCTCTGCTGCCTCCTCAAATGGTTGACCTCCCACCCTGGTCGGCAGCCTTCCACCCTGGTCGACAGCTACAGCCCGGATGAGAACAGGGGACCAGCCTCGCTTGATGCCCCAAGCCCAGGCCAGGAGGTCACCCCCACTGTTAACTGGGGCTGAAAGTGGCTTCACTGCCACCCCTGAGTTTGCATTTTGGCTCCATCCCAAAAGGCTGGGGCCACAAGCTTGGGGATGGAGAAGGCACCTGCGACCCACTTGTCACTGGCTTCCTGTCCTGGTGATGCCCGCCACCCGCAGGTCCCAGGCAGGCCCACCCTGCCCAGTGCAGACAGCCCCCTGCCAGCGTCACCTTGGCCCCTCACAGGCGGGGTGGGGGGTGGGGCAGCAGCAGGCACAGGCCAGCTCTCCTGGGTCTGAGGGCTCAGACCTCCGGCGCAGGCTGAGTCCTAGCATGGACAGGTCCCGGACCCTGGGCTGTGGCCACCCTTTGTGGACAAGGGGGCAGCCTGGAGAGGCCTCCCTGGCCCACAGTGGAGGGGCCGCGGGACCCCACCTACCCGCCATGGCGCTGGTGCTGCCGTGGGCCCAGCAGGAGCCGCAGTACTGGGGGATGTGCTGGTTCCTGGTGATACTGGCGTAGTTGACCCCATTCACGTTGCGCCAGTCCCAGCTCTTGGGCAGATCCAGCGGGGACAGGTACTCGTGAGGTCGTGGGTACGTCCTGTGGAGAGGCCACCACCAACAGAGTCAGTGCGGGGGGCTTCTGGGCCTGGGGCACAGACAGGACTCCTGAGGGCCCCCGCCTCATCCCCCAAATGAGAGGGAGGGCAAGTGGGTGCTCCATCCACGTGAGCCCATTTCACACGTGTCCAGCCCCCCAAATACCAGGCTCCCTTGGATGTGAAAGGAAAGAGAAAGCCCCAAAACTGGATCTGGCCCTCAAAGGTCAAGGGAGGCAGGGCGGCCCAAGGAGGTGGCAGGGTCCCCAAGAGGCAGGGGTGCACGGGAGGCCCCGGGGATGGGCCAGCCCCCCAAGCCGGCGCCGACCTGCGCCCCAGGTTGGACAGCTGGTCCCCGCGCAGGGGCCGGTAGCAGCTCTGGCCCGGGCGGAAGTGGAGGGCGGCCCGCGCCGCACCCGCCAGCAGCACCAGCAGCAGCAGCAGCAGCAGCGGCTGCGGCGGCCTCGCCGACCCAGACGACACCATGGCTTCCACTCCTGTCCTGCTCTGGGTCCCGATTCCAGTCCCACTCCCGGACCCTCTGCCCGCGCCTCGCCCGGCCTCGCGCTCTGGCCCTGGCCCCGCCCGGCCCTTGAGGTGGTGGCGCGGGTGCCCGGACACACCCCGGGGGCGGGGCGCCCTCTTCTGCCCCCTTTGACCCCGGCTCCGCCCCGCCCTGCAGCCTCAGCAGAGTCTGCCCCGGGCCAAAAGCTCGCGCACCCCGGGTTGGGGGCGGGGCCTGAGCTGGGGTCACGCACTGGGCTCAGAGCCAGACCCCGGGTCGTACCCGGCCACTGGCCACCAGTCATGTGGCTCGGTGTCTTCACTGAGCACATACATCATTGTCAGGTTTTCAGAGGCCTTTCTGAACCCCACTTCCCAAAGGCCCAGGCCTTCTGGGGAGAGCTGGTCAGGCCGCAGAGGCGGAAGGCCAGGCCCCCAGGGGAAGTCACGGGGCACAGCGCCTTCAGTTCTGCGATCTGGCCCCCAGAGAGGCTGGGTGGGCTCCTGCCAACACAGCGCCTCGCTGCGAAATAGGGAACTGAAAGGAGGAGTGAGGGCCCCTGGCCTTTAAGGCACAGCTGGGGAGGACGGCTGCAGGAAAGGGGCCTCCGCAGGCCTTGGCGGGTGGCCGGGGTCCTCACTGAAGCAGCGCTGCTCTCCCGCTTCTGGGTGGGCACTAGCCCCTGTCCCTGGGCCCTGCCCAGCAGATCAGAAATCAGAACGATTCTGTCTCCTGGGCTTCCCGTGATTTCCATGGCCACCCTTGGAAGTGCTGGGGTGACCCTGGACCCCCAGCAGGGCGGGACCCCTGTTGGGCAGCAGGGGGCCTCAGAGAAAGCCCGGCCAATGCTTGGTCCATCCAGAAGTTTCCCTCCCTGCTCCTGAAAAGCCGCGGCTCAGCTAAAGCAGAGACATGAGCTCCATCCTCGACCTGCTCTTCCTCTTCTTGGAAAGTCAGTTCCTGGTAACCCTTACATCACTCTGTCACTCCGTGGTGATTAGCAGGTGACCTGCCCCCACACAGGGCCCTGGGCCCTGAGGGCCCCAGCTTGGCGTCTCGCTGTGGCCTTACGAATTCTGTGGCAGGCCTGGCCGATCACACGGCCTCCTGCAGAGACCTGGGTGGCAGGCAAGGGTCAGACGGAGGGTCCTGCAGCCCCAGGGAAGGCAGGTTACCCAGAGGGAGGGGTGGGGACAGATTCAGGCTGCTATAGGAAGTCCTATGCATATAGGACTTCCAGAGCACCCAGAGTCCAGGAGCTGCAGCCCACCTGGCCTTCCCTGGGTCAGGAGCGGGTCAGACTCAGAAGGTGATGGGAAATCGGGCAGGAGGACCCGGAGCGGGTTGGGTCCAGGTACCTGAAACCACAGCTTTCAAGTCAGTGAGCGACTGAGGTCCGGGTGACATGTCCTGCCTCTTTAGCCCTCGCAGTGGGTCAGACACTCGGACCCAGGGCCCTTCCTTCACACGTGAGCTTAGCTGTGATCAGTGGCTGCTGAGCTCTCTGACAGGGTGTGGCCTCGGGCCAGGTCAAGCCACCCTGGAGCCTGCAGCTGGCAGCCAGAGCCCAGGCACAATCTGGGGTGGCCTCGGGTCCAGGAGCTCTGGGACCACAGCACGCAGATACACTCGAAGAAAGGGCCACTGGGCCTCAGGAAGAGAAAGGGGGCCGAAGAACCTGCTGGACTGGCCGCCCCGGTGGCCTGTCTGTCTCTCCTTAAAGCAAATAAATGCGCCTGAACAGCAGCCTCAGGCCCTTGGGAACCTGGGAGCTGGTCCTGTGAGGACGCCTGGTTCTGACGCATGTTCCCCCCAGCCCAGATCAGGGGGACTCCGGCAGGGCCCCCCCACCGCCCTCCAAGGCCCTCCTGCCTGGGCTGGGCTCCAGCCGCTCCTCCTACACTGTGGGCGCCCCCCCCGCCCCCGGTCCCATCACGGCTTGAGACCTGGAGTCTCCTGAAACCACTACAAAGTCCTCTCTCTGGAAGCCAAACTTGTGCCCTGAGTTTTTCCTCCTGATGTACCTGAGTCACACCTGGTCCCCCATAACACTTAAGGGCAGAGATGATGACATTCTTGAGCATTCTCCAGATTGGGGAGCATCTGTCTTCTTTGGATGTTACCACAACCCTATGAAGTGGGTTGCATGCTATCTCCCCATTTTACAGGTGGGAAGGCTGAGGCTCCGGAGTGGTCAGGAGACCTGTACTTAGCATGAGGCTCCTGGTGACGGGTTGGCATCTAGTCCCTGCCCCCTTCTCCCCATAAAGTCTGGCACATGTGTTCCAAGGCCACAACACAAAAACCAATTATTTCTAAAGATAAGGTTGATTCTCCCCTCATCCCAGTAAAGAAAACACAGACTTTCTGGATGGGCAAGGGCTGGCCCATCTCCTCCCAACCTGAAGAAGAACACGAACAGCGTGAGGCTTTGTCTCTGTGGAATTGCCCCGGAAGCCCCCTTCCCTCTTCCTTCATGGCCTGTCGTCTGGCCCCCACTGGCTGCGGGCTCTTCCCATAATTCCACATTCCTGAGCTTGGCCACTTCCTGGACACTGCCCTTGTCGGGAGGGAGGCTGGCAGTGTGGGCAGGCCTGGCTCCGCAGGGCACCTTGGCTTTCTCGCTCCCTGCGGGGATCCCCCGTGTCCACGTGTCCGTGAGGTCTACGCTCAGCCTGAATCCCAGAGCCTTTGCAGCGGAGGCCTCCTGATTTGGAGGGGTCAGAGGTGAGATCAATCCTGCCGCCGTCCCCAAAGGCCCTGGTCGGCACACCCTCTCCTGGCTACACACCCTGGCTCCGGAAGCAACGTGCCTCCTGGGGGTCCCGTCAGCATCTGTTCAGAATGTGCTGGTCACAGCCTGGCCCGCAACACACAGCCCACCCGGGAGCTGCCCCACGGACTCCTTCCGAGGGTCATTCACTTGCTCGAATGCAGGGCCTTTCTGAAGTTGGACAGTCAGCAGAGAGTGGTGGCCCCCTCCCTGCCCCCCCCCCCCCCGAACTGCAAGGTCAGCCCTGGGGGTAACAGTGGAAATGAGTCTGTGAGGAGCTCACAGCAGGGAACGGTGGTGCAGGGAAGCAAGCACTCCAAAGGAAGTAGAAAGTGCCCGCACGCAGAGAACACGGGGGAGCCAGAGCCCGGGCCTGGGGGGTTGGCTCTGGAGTCTTCTCCTTGCTCCCCGGGGAGTGGGGGTTGAATAATGAGGACGGAGCCATGGAAAGGGCTGGACCGGGCAGAAGGCAGAGACCGTGCCGAGTTCTCAAGGTGCAGAAGTGCCAGGTAGGCGTGCTCAGCTGGGGGAGCCCAGTGGGGAGCCAGGTGGCCAGCCAGGTGGCCGCAAGCAGGTGGGGCTCGACCAGCAGGAGCTCCGGGAGCCAGGAGCATGGCTGCGGCGGCGTCTGCAGGCTGGCGGGACCTCCTGGCGCAGGCCTCTGCTGCCGCGTGCGCCCCAGACACTGTCCGCTCCCTCTCCCTGCCCCTCACTGGCACTTTCTGTCGGGGATCTGAACCACACATCAGCTGTGGTGAGAGGGGGTGGTTTTACCCTGGTGGCAGCTAGTTTCCCAAAGGGCGGCAGGCGAGATCTGATTTATGCCCTTAAGATGCCTCGGGCGGGGGTGGAGAGGGGGCCCTGGCCGGTGGCTTGGTTGGTTGGGGTGTCGTCCTGTCACTCTGAGGTTGAGAGTTGATCTCCGGTCAGGGCACGGGCAAGAATCAACCAACGAACCAGTAAATGAGAGGAGCAACAAAATCAATGTTTCTCTGTCTCTCCCCGCCCTGCCCCGCCCCCCCAATCCCTCACCCCATTCCTCTCTCTCTAAAGTCAATAAATAAAATTTAAAAAAATCCCTTTGGTGGCCACGGAGAGGTAAAATGGAAGGAGGCAAGAGTGAGGTCAGGTGGGAGCTACTGTGGTCACAGATGGGACAGCTGGTGGTGATGCCTCTGGAGAGATGGTGGCGGTGACAGCAATGGATGCTGAGTCCCAGGGGCAGGACTCGGGCACCGGCCAGGGGTCAGGAGAAAGGTGAGGCGAGCAGCCGCTGCCCCTCAACACCTCATGCAGGACCCGGGGACCTGGCCCGTCTCTGGCCGCGCCCCACCCCGGCGCTCAAGGGAGCCGACTTGCTCTCTGAGCCTCGGGTTCCTGAACCAGGTGGCAGAGAACTTGGTGGAGTCCTGTAGAAAGGGGACCAGAGCTGTCTCTGAGTCCCCGGAGTGTAGGCCCACACTCGTCACTTCCCCGAGGCCCCTCGAGCCCCCAGAGAGCCCCTGGCCGATGTTTCTTGGATAAGCGAATGGATTTCTGAGACGCGCACAGCGCAGGTTTCTTAGACAAACACAGGCTTGAAGAATACACCTACTTTTGTCTGACGTCGGCTTCAGGGGGCTGACCCTATTGTGCGTATCTGTTTCTGCCACAGGATGTCTCTCCTCAGAACCACTGCAGCTCGGGGGGAGGTGGGAGCCCCAGGAGGGGGGGGTTAATGGCTCTTCAGAGTCTCGGGGGTCGGTGGGGGCAAGTGCGTGTCTCCTCCTGCACATCAGAGACGCCCCGGCCCAGCCCTCCCATTCTCACTGTGCGGAGGGGACAGCTGAGGGCTTCCACTGCCTGGGCTGGGGGGCCGGAGGGGCACCGTGACGCAGGTAGGAAGGGGCATTTCGGCTCGGGAACAAGGTCTCAAACTCCACAGAGCCAGGCAACCGGACTTAGGGAGACACAGCCATGCTCTCCTGGCTCCTCTTCTCTCACAACTCCTTCTTCTTCCCAGAACTTTCTTCCACAAGTAGGAGAGCACGCCGCAGCAGAGGACGGAAAGTGGAGCTCGGTTCATCTGGTGATGTGCCCACACCCGCTGAGTCACTCATAATGGCTCCTCCTCGGATGTCACTTTCTTGCTAAGACGTTTGGAAAAACTTCTGCTTCTGAACCACAGGCAAACACTGTAACTCAACAGCCTTCTCTGAGTTATCCAAGGACCTTCCATGTACGCAAAGGGGGAGATCGGGGCGGACGAATCCGTGGATTCTCTGGGTGCTGGTTTTTTCCTAATTACATTTCATTTGTCAAATGGAGGTGGGGGCGCCCCTTCTGCGTCCT